GAATAACTTAGAGAGAAGTCAGAGCAAGTAAATGTAGAGAGAGAGAGTGTATTATAAATGTGGAGCGTTTTCAGCGTGGTTACAAATGGGGAAATGGGGTGCTATTTATAGTAGCAATAAATGCCGGACAGGGACACGTGTCAAGCGCCTATTGGCCGAGGGGTCACCTCAACCGGTTGGCATTGGCAGCCGCATGTGGCCGCATTTAATGCGGCTGTTGGATGGGATGTATGTACAGGGTACAGTGATCTGTACGCATGTGAGGCGGATATCATGTCGGGAGAGGTGCCCTCGGCTGCAGAGGATTAGCCGAGGGCTCTTAGTGTCGAGGACCCCTGAGTGCCGAGGGCTCCAGGTGCCGAGGGCTACTGTTTTCGCTGTTTTCTCCCAGTTCCTCTGTTTGTTCGAAATATCCATGCTGTGATAGTTTGGAGCCTCCGGCCAGGGGGCCGAAGGCACCCCTGATTCGTATTGCGGGCTGCTTGGTACTCTGGGCGTCGTGATTTGGGCCTGTTGGGCCTTCTGGGCCTGTTGGGCCTCTACTGGAGTAGTAAGAGTCTGTGGGCCGGGTGTTCCCGGGCCATATACTCCATCAGGAGTCCCTCACTCCTTTTGCCGAAAGGTATTTGAGGGAAAAGGAGTAATTTGTGCTTGCCCTTTGATGTTGTCCTGTCGTGATCTCTGAAGTTGGTGAGGAGTTGTTGCTTTTATGTCCCTGCCGAAGGCAGTCCCTCAGTTACCCACATGTCGGGACTTGAGGGCTTGCTTTGTCGTTTGTTGGAATTTCACTAATTTTGTAATTTAATGATTTTCCCGAGGGGGTTCTCCAGTCCCCCACTCCTTGAGGCACTTGTAAAGTGGTGAAAAGGAGTAGAGTAGTTGCGTTGCTGTTGTGGGCCAAAGGCTGACGCTTTTCGTTTCATTTTGGGGGGATGCCTCGTTAAAAACTTCATTAGGAAAAACCCTGTGGGATAAAATCCTAATGAGGGAAAAAGAGTGCACTGAATTCCCCCAATGATGAATCGAAAATGTCAAACCTTGGTCAAAAATGGAGAACAACGGTAATGCCGAAGGCTCTTCTTTTTCTGAGGGCTCATGTGTTGATTAGCCGAAGGCTTGCTGTTGGTGTCCTGGGGGTGCCGAAGAGGAGCCCCTCAATCTGGGGATCGAGGGCCTGATGGGTGACGACAGCAGTGGAGTTGTTATCGGGGGGTCCACTGTTTGTGATTAGTCGGTGATGAAGATACCCGAGGGCTCCCATCACCTGTGTGCCGTGGGCTGTCCGTCAATGAGGTAACTCCCCGGGGGCTACCCGGTTTTACAATGCTGAGGGGGGATCCCCGAGGGGTGCCCTGATATGAAGCCTTGGGCTTCTAAAGGAGTGATCCCGAGGGCGACTGTTATGTACTGTGTGGGGCATAAACCGGGGGCGTCTCTGGGTAAGTGTACCCGGAGGCTCTCCTTGGTGAAGTGGAGTGAAGTAAAAAAGGTCCGGGGGCTCTCGGAATATAGCCGTTGGGAATATAGCCGTTGGAATACGTACCGTCAGGATATAGCCGTTGGGGGGTACACGTGGCGTGTGATGGTTGGCTGTCCGTGGGCGGCATCACTGGTTGGGCGAAGACGCGGTGTGTAATGATGGCGGTCCATCTGGAGGCCCGGAATCCAGGCCCAAGCCCGGATTCCAGCGCCTATAAATATCCCAAGGCCAAGGCCATTCCCCGCTGTGCGAACTCAGTGTAGCGAAGCTCTGGCAAAAATTTTCTAGAGAGAGAAACTTGCCCTCGGTTGAATCCTCTGTTCTCAAGGTCAGTCCCCCCTGCCTTTCTCCTTCTAGTTTAGCTGTGCCTTGTGCCCCTAGGTTAGGAGATAGAATTTTCTAGGAAACCTTAGTTTTCCCGAGCCTTCGAATTAGTGAGCAGATGTCATCACAGAGCGACTCCCAGGATATCTCGGGGGAGCCTTCGGTTGAGATGGAGACATGCTCAGATGTGGAGTCCTCGAGTGTTGAGTCCTCGGCGGGTGGTGATGCCGCAGTGGCCATGGAAGTGGAGAAGGTCCTCCAGGCCGAAGTCGAAGCCGAGGGCTTCGAGCAAGAAAACGAGGACGAAGAGCTTGCCCTCGCCGTGCAAACCGCCGAGCAAGAAGAGGAGAGGGAGAGGCTGAAGGTGACGGTTGCCATTCCTCCCCCCGGGGTGCCGGGGAAGCCAGCTCCTCCCGGCCATTGGACCCGACGCCCATCAGTGTGGCTCCCGGGAAGAAAAACAAGATGAAGGCGGCCCCGAGGAAGAAGCAAGCGGCAGTTGATGCTGGGCGACCGGTGGGCATACCCGAGGGCCATTCGTTCCTGAACACTGCCGCTCTAGAGATGAAGACGAGGGCGTCCCCGGCAGAATACCAGTCCACTCAGATGCTGGTTGGCCCTTCGACGCGCGTGGTGGATCCCAGGGCGGATGATTTGCTGCGATATGCGCCCGAATGGTGTTTTGCTGCTCACACCCTCTCGGTGGAGATGGGGCTTCGGTTTCCGCTTCATCCTTTTCTCTTGGAGTATCTGAGGTTTGTGGGGTTGGCCCCCTGCCAGCTAACGCCCAACAGCCACTCATATGTGGCCGGCTTCCTCTCCTTGTGTCAGAGCCGGGGGGTTGAGCCCACACTTGATCAATTCTTCATGTCCTTCAACCTCTGCCGGGGGGACATTCAAATGCTGAGGGCTTTGCCAACCTTCAGCAGGTACCGGAGTTCCGGCTTTTTGATGATGTGCCCTCGTCCCACAAGGGGTGGAAGGAGAGGTTCTGCTACATTCGCCTCGAGGAGAATCCCTTCCCAGCCCAGCTCCACAATAGCTTTCGGCGCCATCCGAAGGTGGGGAGAGCAGCTCTGGAGAAGAATGGCAAAGTGCTTGCCAAGAAGCCGGAGGGGTCTGACAAGCACGTCAAGATCAGAGACGTCACCCTCCCAGAGGAACTGCTTAGTCTGGGCTTCCGGCAGTTCAGGCCGAGGGGCTCTTCGGATGACAGATACCCTCCCCTCGATCGAGTCTTCGAAGGAGCTGGATGTGATCACCGAATGATTCACTGATGCGTCGATAGTTCTCTCTTATTTCCCATCTTTTATGACGTAGTAACTGGTAGCCTTCGATCTAACCCTTTTGTGTTTTTTTTTTGTTGCTTGCAGGTAACAATATGGACGTCGGTTCCCTCTTCGCTCTGAAAAACGCGAAAGGGAAGAAGAAGGCCCCGGCGGGCGCTTCTGCCAGGGAGGGGCCCTCTCAAACTGCTGTCGCCGCTGCTGGCGCCGGAGGGTCCAAGGGTGCCGGGCCCGTAAAAAAGAAGAACGCCGGCAAGGGGACCGAGCCCCCGGCCAAGAAGCTGAAGACTACCGCCCCTACCAAACAGCCGATCACCGATGTGGTGGTGATCGTTGACGAAGGGCACGCCTCTGCCTCCACCCCCAGGAACAAATTAATCAGGAGTTCTTTGGGCGGGAGAGGTTGGAGGCGTTAGTACCGAAGGGAGCCTCCGTGTTGGAGGGCAGTCTGAACCCTTCGGCTCTGATGAGCCAGATGCTGCCGTCGGCCGACCGACTAGCCCTTGCCCGGTTGGACGAGGGATCCCTCGAGGCGAAGGACCTCCTGAATGCTGCCTCCGTAAGTCACCCCCCTTTCTTTGTTCATTGTTGTGTTTTCCTTCTGTACTATGTTCGTTGTGCCTTATTCTTGCCTTCGTGAATTGCAGAGCTTTATGGGCCTCTACGAGCACCTCCGGAGGGTGGATCAAATGAGGGAGGCCAAGGGTGTAGCCGAGGGGGAGGCCGCCCTCCTCAGGAAGAAGCTTGCTGAAGCCGAGGACTCTCTTCGTCTGGCCACCGACGGCATGGAGCAGAGGGTGCAGGCTGCAAGGGCCGAAGGGGTTAATGAGGGACTGGCCAGGGCCGGGGAGGCCGCCGCCGAGGCCGCCCGCATTGCTGCTGATGAAGCCCGCGCGGCTCAAGAAGAGGCTGTCTCCAAGGCCCGAGAGGATGCGGTGACCAGCTTCACAGCCGAGGGGTGGAAGGCCGAAGACCGGAGGGAGTGGCTTGCTTCGGTGGTGGGGGCTTCAGTGGACGAGTGGGTCGGAGGCCCCGGAAAGATGTGGCTTGCTGAGAGGGGCGACTCGTACTACCAAGGCGGGGAGTTCTTCACCCAACGCCTTATCTACCGGAAGCTTGCGAAGCACTTTCAGGTGGCACCGGAGGAGTTCCGTCCAGAGGCTTATGGCCTCCCCCCTCGCCAGCCAGACATCAGGATCCCGCTCCCCGAGGGGGAAGAGAGACCAGTTCTTGAAGACTCGGAGACCCTCCGGGAGTGCGGCCTTGGGGGTGAAGAGGATGAAACTGAGAGCGAGGCAATATCCACAGTCCCCCCTTCTTGAATTGTATTCCCCCTTTTTGTTGTAATTGTTGGCCTCGGCCTCCTTTGTAAAGTACAATTAAACTTCCTCTTTTTTTTTTGAATGAATGAGTACATATGCCCTCGGGCCTTTGATATATCATATGCTTCCTTTTGATTTGTTAATTGTCGAATATATGCCTTCGTCCTGTTTTGGATGTATGCCTTTGCTCCTTTGAATGTATGTTTTAGGACTTAGAATATTTTCTGATTGTAGCTTGCCCTTGGAAGCCTTCGGTAGTTGGGCACCCTCTGCTGGATATGTAACCGAGGGTTCAGCAATAATTAGGACTTAGAAAAATTTCCTAAGTGTAGCACGCCATAGGGCCTTCGGGTGTTTGTAGTAACCCAATCCCTAGGACTTAGAAAAATTTGTAGGTGTAGTTTTGCCCTCGGATGCCCTCGCCTGGCAGCCTCCTTCCTGATGTGTGAATAACGGACCGAGGGCCCAATGTACAGGACTTAGAATTTTTTTGCAAGTGTAGCATGTCATGTAGCCTTCGACCACTGTGGAGCCCCAACTGAAATGTTCCTCAGTGTTGATTCCTTGTGTGAACACGCAAATGTTCGTTCCTTGCCCAACTCCACTTAAAAGACATGCTGCAACCTTCCCATGAACATTTCAAGGGTCTATCTTCTTCATGGACGCGTTGATGACGTACGGCATATCTGTGACAGTTAAACTTCTTTCCGCAACCATTGACTGGACACCGGTTACGTTTGTGAAGGGACACCTCTCTCTTTGTTTTGAAACTCATTTTGCACCCTTCAATGTCACACCTGTGTGAGGGTCCTCCATTCCTTTGGTCCTGGAAATTGTTCTTAGTATTATTATCACTTGTACACACTGATGTCTCTTTCTTGGATGCCCTTGGCCTTAGGCCTTCACATGGGTTTTTCACAAAACTGGTAACATCGGGTGAATCATTTATGTGTGAATTTCTGCTTCGGTCCTCCATTGCCAGCATCTGAGGAATGAGATTCTCCAGTTTTTCATTAGCACTGGAGATCTCATGAGTGGAAATATCACTTTCTAAAGAAGCACGTGGTTTTAACTTGAATCTTTTCCTTGAATACTGGACGGCTATTGTTTCTTCTCTGGATGCTCGAGTGTTGTCTAATTTTGATTCCAAACATTTCTCCTCAAATTTGGAAGGCACACATAGTTTATTTGCTGGTTTGGGATTTGTCCTTCTCTTAGAGCGTACTTTTCTGGATTCCCATTCATAACCCAAACACTTCATACTGGAGGTTGTTGTGTCGGGGAATAGCCTACTTAAAATCAGCGCATACTCTAACTTCTTAGCTGTTTGACAGCTGTTTTTACTCAACTTCTTCATAGAATGCAGTAAATTGATGTGTAGTGTTGATGTCCAGTCTTCAGCACATTCTCTGTTTCCATCTTCAATTGCAAGATCTATCAACTGAAGATGTTCCTTAGATGCATTGTCTAAGACAATCTCATTATAGACAAACGTGGTGTCTGTTTCCTCTGCGATAAATGTAGCATAAGCCCTTATTTTCTGAAAGTCTGCACGAAAAAATAGTCACAGACATCTTGTCAAACAGTTATGTACTCCGTACTTCAGAAAAAAGAGTTTGATTTTGAAAGCCAAGTTTACTTTTGAATTAAATTCTTCTGAAGCGAAGTAGCAAGCTGCTATGGTCAATTGCTCCAGTCTTGGAAATAATTTTCTTGGGAACAATTCATAACTTGTAAGAACTTGCACAGTTGTACCTTAATTGAGATTAACTTAAGTAAAAAGTTGTACCTTATAACCCTGTTTTTAGGACGGGGGGTTATTTAATTTCTTCCCTATTTTGGATCGCATTTAGAGATCCAAAAGATTGTTATTCTCACCTGAATGGCAAGGAACGAACATTTGCGGGTGAAATATGTAGGACTTAGAAAGATTTCTAAGTGCAGATTTTCCCTTGGGAGCCTTCGGGAGATGGCATCCCTTCTTGATGTATGAGTAGTTGACCGGGGGAAAAATATGTAGGACTTAGAAAATTTTCTAAGTGTAGATTTTCTCTTGGGAGCCTTCGGGAGATGGCATCCCTTCTTGATGTATGAGTAGTTGACAGGGGGGAAAATATGTAGGACTTAGAAAATTTTCTGAGTGTAGATTTTCTCTTGGGAGCCTTCGGGAGATGGCATCCCTTCTTGATGTATGAGTAGTTGACCGGGGGGGAAAATATGTAGGACTTAGAAAATTTTCTGAGTGTAGATTTTCTCTTGGGAGCCTTCGGGAGATGGCATCCCTTCTTGATGTATGAGTAGTTGACCGGGGGGAAAAATATGTAGGACTTAGAAAATTTTCTAAGCGTAGATTTTCCCTTGGGAGCCTTTGGGAGATGGCCTCCCTTCTTGATGCATAGCCTTCGACTGTCATATTCATTTAGCTGTAATATTGATTGGGCCGGGGGCCCAATCTTTAGGACTTAGAATTTTTTCCAAGTGTTGCTTCCTTGTGTCCCCTTCGGGTGATAGGTGCCCTCTGACTCTACATCACTTCGCGAGATGCCCGGGGGCTACTCATTTAGGACTTAGAATACTTTTTAAGCGTAAAGTGATGTCGAGCTTCTGGATGTAGAGCCCTCCGGGTATATGAATAGGACCCTTCGGGTGATCGTGGGGCCCTTGAGTTGTATGAGTATTTGATCGAGGGCCAAATATGTGGGACTTAGCAAAATTTCACAGTGTGCCGTAGATGTTGGACCTTCGGTCAGTGAGGAGTCTGTCCGAGGGGCAAATATTTTGGAATAGTACCCTTGGTTGGCTTTTGATGATTTGTAATAGATGCCTTCGGTTGTCTGGTGACATATTAACCTCCGGTTGCTGTCATTTTCCAAAAGTGTGGACTTAGGAAAAGTGTGGAATCCTGTTGTTGTGAAGAAAGCCAATGAGGAGTGTGTGCCCTCGGCATATACTTGAAAAGTTGTAGAGTTTGACTTAGCCTGTTGTGTCCCTTGTCATGGGGTAGGGTGCCCTCGGTATTTGTTTGAATTACTGTTTAGTAGACTTTGGATAGTCCAGTCCCTTCGTATTGTTGAAGCCTTCGGTGCTTGTGTGACCGGGGTGACCAGGCAGTGGACTTAGCCGTTTCTTGATGATATTTGTTTGAGTAGTATCTTTCGGGAAATAGGAGCCTTCAATTACCGGAGGTGTTCCCGTGGGGAGCCCTCGGCATGTTGTGATCTGTTGGAGTGTACTCTTTGATTTCTCGCTGAGTCTACTACCCTTCACACCTTTTTTTTTTGGTTGGTGGTGAAGGGAAGGCATCAAGAAACTTGGTTTCTTGGTAAGGCTGGGCCTATTAGGAGACCATCAGAATACACCAATGGCTCTCCTCCCTCGGGTTAACCTTCCGAGTTCCGAGGGGATCGAGGGTCGTTTCCTGGGCACAATATATGGTGGTCTGTAACCTGCCTCCCCTTGGGGGATGGCGCGGAAAGCGCCTCATTTTTGAAAGTCGTCCCCTCGGCGCTAGACATAGTCCGTGGCCTGCCACACCCTTGGGGTGGTGGCGCGGGGAGCGTTTCGGTTTGGAAGTCGAATCCTGGGCATTTCTCGTGCCTGTCATACCCTTGGGGTGATGACGCGGATAGCGTTCCGTTTTTGAAAGTCGAATCCTGGGCATTTCTCATGCCTGTCATACCCTGGGGGTAGTGACGCGGAAAGCGTTTCAAGGAAGGGTTTTCATTTGCACACTAGTTGCAAATGGCCGAGGGCACTACGTGCCGCCGGCACCGATGGTGGCGCCTTCGGTATATGCGTCCTCGTGGGGTACGGCTTTTAGAAACAACACTTGGTGTTAGTTTCGATGTGTAGCCCCCGGTACTTGGTACCGAGGGGTCTTCTGTAGGAACACTTGGTGTTCTCTTTTGTTGTAGTTGATGGAGGTTTCCGCCCTCGGTACTTGGTACCGAAGGGTCTTCAAATGAAACACTTGGTGTTTTGATTGGAGTGTTTGGTGCCGGAGGGCCCTCGGAGGAAACACTTGGTGTTTCCCAATAGATGTTTGGAAGTTGATAGGAGAGCATATCCCTGGCACTGGGTGCCGAGGGGTCTTCTTTGAAACATTTGGTGTTTTTCTTCGTTTTGATGTTGGTGATGGAGGTGTACCCTCGGCACTGGGTGCCGAAGGGTCTTCTGTAGGAACACTTGGTGTTCTCATATTTTCTTTTTTGATGTTGAAGGTGGGGATGTACCCTCGGCACTGGGTACCGAGGGGTCTTGTTCGAAAACACATGGTGTTCTCCTTTTGTTGTAGGTGTTGACGGTGTCCGCCCTCGGCACTTAGTGCCGGAGGGGGTTCTTCTTGTGGTGAGGCCTGGGGCCTGTAGTCAGTATGAGGGCGTGGTGTCTTGAATGTGTCTTCATTCCTCAAAAGTGGAGGCCTTGGGCCATAGGATAGTACATTCATTAGTTATGAGGGCTTGGCCGCTCTTACATTATTGGTAAAATTTAACTAAATGGTGTACATTCCAGTGCCTAGGGACCTCTTTCCCGTTGGGGCGTTTGAGCTTGTAAGTCCCAGGTTTGATGATGGCTGCTATGATGTAGGGGCCTTCGAATTTTGGTGCCATTTTTCCTCCCTCGGTTGGTTGGCTGGCTTCCCTCCTCCGGAGGACATAGTCCCCCACTTGGAATTCTCTGGTGCGAACTTTGGCATTGATGTAGCTTTTGACTTGCCTTCGGTAATTTTCTGCCCGGATGAAGGCCTGCTCCCGGCGTTCTGAAATGAGGTGGAGGTCGAGGTCCATGTTGCTGTCGTTGACCTCGGGGTCATATTGGATCACCCTCCGGGTGGGAAGGGTGACTTCCGTAGGAGCTTTGGCTTCAAAACCGTAGCAAAGGGAGAAGGGTGTTTCACCTGTTGCTCGTCGAGGGGTGGTGCGGTAGGCCCAAAGGATGTTGTGGAGTTCTTCCACCCAGCCACCGCCCTCGGCCTCCAGCTTCTTTTTGAGGCCCTCGAGCAAGGTCCGGTTGGCATTCTCTACTTGCCCGTTGCCTTGAGGGTAGGCAACGGAGGAGAAGGTGTGTTTGATGCCCCATGCCTCCAGAAGGGCATAGAAGGGGGCTGCCTCAAATTGTGTCCCATTGTCGGAGATGATCTGCTGGGGGACGCCAAACCTTGTGAGGATGTTCTTGAGGACAAAATGACGACACTTCGCCTCTGTGATACTGGCGAGGAGCTCAGCCTCCACCCACTTGGTAAAGTAGTCGATGGCCACAATGATGTACCTGTTGTTGGAGGTACCCCTCGGTAGAGGGCCCACAAGGTCTATCCCCCATCGAGAAAAAGGGACAGATGTGCTGATGGGGGCATAGTTGACCGCTGGCCTGCCGGGGGCTTTCTGGAAATGTTGACATGTGGTGCACCTCCGGGCAAGGTCGACACAATCTCTGGCCATGGTTGGCCAGAAGTAGCCCTGGAGAATGAGCCTTCGGGACATGGAGAAGGGTTCCTGGTGAGCCGAGCAAGTGCCACTGTGCACTTCCTCCATTGCGACCTCGGCTTCATCTTGATGAAGGCACCGAAGTAGCGTGCCATTGTAAGATCGTTTGTAGAGCCTTCCATCTTCGATGGTGTAGCTAGGAGCCCTCAGCTTTGCCAATTTAGCGCGGGTCTCATTCTCGGGTAGCTGCCCTGTGGAGATGAAGGTGGTGATATCTGAGATCCAATCCTCTTGGCGTTGTTGTATGTTCATAACGGGGCTCGCATGGATACTTGAGAGGCCGAGTTCCTCAATTTTGGCAATTTTGGAGATGTGCTCGGGGGAGTCGGCCGAGAGCTTAGATAATATGTCGGCCTCGGAGTTCTTAGCCCTCGGTATTTGAGTGAGAGAGTGTGCCTCAAATACCTTAAGCAACTCCTTGGCCGCTTCCTTGTACTGTTTCATTCTTCCCTCCTTGGCCTCATATTCCTCGGAGATTTGGCCAACGACCAACTTGGAGTCACATTTGATGTGGATCTGCCGAGCCCTCATGTTGGCAGCCAGCCGAAGGCCACATAGGAGGGCCTCATATTCGGCCTCGTTGTTGGAGACTTTGAAAGAGAAGCGGATTGCATAGTAGGCTCTGAATCCCTCGGGAGTAATGAGGACTACCCCTCCCCCACATGCTTTGGTCGCGGAGGAGCCGTCGGTGTAGAGGGTCCACCAGTTGTCCGAAGTAGCCGAGGGCTCCCCGTCCGTGGCTGCCCTTGCGGTACATTCCGTTACAAAGTCCGCCAGGGCTTGGCCCTTGATGGCAGGCCTTGGACGGATGTCAATGTTGTACTGGCTCAAGAAGATGGCCCATTTCACCATGCGGGAGGAGCTGGTGGGGCTCCTCATGAGGGCGCCGAGGGGTTGATGAGTGAGGACCTGAACCGGG